TTGTGCCAGAAAGTCGAGAATACACATCTCATCCAAAGGCCAAGAAGTGCAGAATACTACATTATTTTATTGGGCCAGTCAGATTCGTTCTACCACCCCAGAAGCAGGATCACTGAGAAGAATCAAAATTTGGGGTCTAATTTATAAGTTCGAAGTGGAGGCAGAAAGTGATTCACGTCGTGCCGCGACGTTAAATCAAGCTTTTGTTGGGAGGCAACCCAACATTACTGCTTTCTTTTATTTTCTTATTATTATTTTTTTATTATATTATTTTTGTAGTGTCAATTTTTGATTTTCTAGGAGCATGTAAAGCAAAGCTATTGGAAGGATGCAACAATAAACTAGATGGTTAGAACAAAGTGTGATGTACTCGCACGAAGGACCAGGCCTGGGAGAAGTTTGAGTACCTCATGAGATGCTAGTGCTTCGGTTTTTGGCTTACCAGGGAGTTTATTTTAACCTCTTGTATGTATGGGTGTGCATTGGGGACAATGCACAATTTTAAGTGTGGGGTGAGGAGATTGTCTGGGTGACTTTCTGTGCTATTTTAGTTATGTTAGTTTAATTGAATATTTTTTAAATAGAAAAGATGGGACTTTTCCCAAAGATTAGTTTTTCTTTGTGCCGCGGTTCTTTTCCAAGGGTTTTATTTGAACCGGGTGTAATTAGTTTTATTTTTTTGGGAGTAGGAGCCATTGTGTTGTGTTTTGAATTGAAGCAATGTCTCTTGACTTTGTTATGCCTTGAGAATAGTGAGTACTTTGGTTGTGACGCTTAGGCTCAGTTTTTGACTCTTGTATAAGTACCTTAAATTGTATGATTTTAACTTTGCTTAACTACTTTAACTAGAGTGTCTTTATGAATCCAATCTTGAGTGAGTTATGTGACATGTGTGTGTGAGGTTTGGGAGTTATTCTATGCATTGCATTTGATGCCTAGAACTTTCCCGGTGTGTTTGCAAAGTGAAATAGTTATTTTGTTCAGTCTTAGAAGTGATATATGCGTTTCTTTGTTGATCCAGATATGTATATTTCACCCGCCTAATTGTTATGTATCGTAGTTTACTCTTTTAAGCTTGTAATCATATTTCTTTGGCAACCACATTACAAGTCTTACACATTTGTTTGAATTAACCATCTATTTGAACCTTCTAATCTCTCATGAGCACTTGAATTGTTATGAGCTATGTAAAAGTTAAAGTATGGAGTGGTTGGTTTGGCTTTTGAGTGGAACTAATGAAATAAGGAGAAAGGTGCACTATTTTGAAAAAGTAACATGCACATGCATAAAAAAAAAAAGAAACAACAACAACAGCTAACCCAGTTTGATCCCAACATGTGGGGTCTGGGGAAGGTAGTCTGTAAGTAGACCTTACCCCTACCTAATGCAGGTAGAGAGGATGTTTCCAATAGACCCTCGGCTCAGGAAGGGCAAGAAAAAGAAGAGGGAAGCAATAAAGGAAAACAATATCCAATAAAAGCAACACGGAATACAATACCTGAGGCGAACAAAATCACCTACCATAATAAAAATCAAAGAATATGAAGGGAAATGCATGCTAGTAAGCCTATCAGTGAGCACTATAAACTACCTACTAACCTTCTATCTTAATCCTCGACCTCCACACCCTCCTATCAAGTGTCATGTCCTCAATGAGCTGAAGCAGCGCCATGTCCTGCCTAATCACTTCTCCCCAGTACTTCTTAGGCCTACCTCGACCCCTCCTCAAAATCTCCATGGCCAACCTCTCGCACCTCCTGACAGGGGCATCAATTCTTCTTCTCCTAACATGTCCGAACCATCTCAGCCGCGACTCCCGCATCTTGTCCTCCACGCAGGCTACTCCCACTCTATCCCGGATAGCTTCATTCCTAATTCTATCTCACCTGGTACACCCACACATCCATCTCAACATCCTCATCTATGCTACCCTTATCTTCTGCACATGGGAGTTCTTAACTGGCCAACACTCAGCCCCATACAGCATAGCGGGTCAAACCACCACTCGATAAAAATTACCCTTAAGTCTTAACGGCACATTTTTATAACATAGAACACTGGAAGAGATCCTCCACTTCATCCACCCCACTCCAATGTGATGTGTCACACCTTTGTCAATCTCCTCGTTACCCTGTATAATAGACCCGAGATACTTAAAACTCGCTCTCTTGTAGATAACTTCAGCGTCAAGCTTAACCTCTATGTCTGCATCATGGGTCTCACTAAATTTTCACTCCAAGTATTATATCTTGGTTCTACTAAGTTTGAAACCTTTAGACTCCAAGGTTTATTTCCAAACCTCCAACCTCGCATTAACTCCGCTACGTTTCTCATCTATCAACACTATATCATCAGCAAATAGCATGCACCAAGGCACCTCCTCTTGGATGTGATGCGATAGTACATCCATCGCCAAGGCAAACAAAAATGGGCTAAGAGCCGATCCCTGGTGCAACCCCATCACCACAGGGAAATGGTCTGAGTCACCACCCACAGTCCTCACCCGAGTCTTAGCATCATTATACATATCCTTAATCACACTAATGTACGTTACCGAAACGCCGCTAACCTCCAAACACCTCCACAGGACCTCACTCGGAACTTTATCGTATGCCTTCTCAAGGTCAATAAACACCATATGCAAATCCTTCTTCCTTTCCCTGTACTGCTCCACTAATCTCCTTACCAGATGAATCGCTTTCGTAGTCGAACGCCCCAGCATGAATCCAAACTGATTCTTAGAAATAGACACGCATCGCCTCACCCTGGCCTTCACCACTCTCTCCCCAACCTTCATAGTGTGACTCAATAACTTGATACCTCTATAATTGTTGTAATTTTGGATATCACCCTAGTTCTTGTAAAGCGGAACCACTTTACTCCGCCTCCATTCTTTGGGCATCTTCTATGCCTTACAAATAACATTAAACAGCTTAGTGAGCCACTCCAAACCTACCCGCTCTGCGCTCTTCCAGAATTCCACCGGGATTTCATTTAGCCCCGCTGCTTTGCCCCTGCACATCTTACGCATCGCTCCTTCCACCTCCTATACTATAATCCGTTGCAGTACCCAAAATCCCACCGACTCTTGGAGTGCTCCAACTCACCCAGCACAATGCATCTATTCCCCTCTTCATTCAACAGTTTATGGAAGTATGTCTGCCATTTTCTCCTAAAGAGTGCCTCGTCCATCAACATTTTACCATCTTTGTCCTTGATGCACTTGACTTGGTCTAAGTCACGGGTTTTCCTCTCCCTCACCTTGGCCAACCGGTACAACCTCTTGTCTCGACCTTTGCCCTCGAGCTCCTCGTACAAACGAGCAAATGTTGCATTCTTAGCCGTCGTAATTGCTAACTTTGCCTCTTTCTTTGCCTTTATGTAACAATCCTAATAAGTCCTTTTTTCCTTTTCGTTTGTACTCTCTACTAGCTTTAAATAAGAAGCTTTCTTAGCTTCCACTTTTTCTTGAACCTCTCAATTCCACCACCAGTCCCATTTATGACCCCTAGGAGAACCCTTCGTGACCCCTAAGACCTCTCTAGCAGCGACCCTAATGCAATCCGTAATCATGGACCACATACTAGACGCGTCCCCCATACTCATCCAGGCCCTCATAGACAACAACTTGTCCCCTAAATCCTGATCTTTGTCCTTGGTCAAGTTACCCCACTTGATCTTAGGTTGCTTGTACCCTGCCCTCTTCCTCCTACTCCTCTTGATCTCTAGGTCCATAAATAGGAGCCTATGCAGAGTCGTGAGGTGCTCACTCGGGATGACCTTGCAGTCAGTGCACAGACCTTTATCGCATTTCCTCCAAATAAGGTAATCAATCTGATCTTGCCCATTGAATTTCGGAAAGTGACCAGATGCTCTTCCCTCTTCGAGAAACTCGAGTTAGCTATAACCAAATCAAAATGTCTAGCAAACTCCAACAGTGAATTACCTCCCTCATTCCTATCCCCAAAACCGTACCCGCCATTCACATCATCAGAAACCCTAGAACTAGCCCCAACATGACCATTGAAATCTCCGCCAATGAAAAACTTCTCTATGTGCGGGATACTACGCACCATCTCGTCCAAATCATCCCAAAATTGCTTTTTGACCTCCTGGTTCAAACCTACCTGAGGAGCGTATGCACTAATGATGTTCACAGTAGACCCATAAACTACCAACTTAATACTTATCAACCTATTATTTACCCTCCTAACCTCAACCACGAGCTCCCTGATGTCCCTGTCTACTAGAATACCTACCTTATTCTTGCCCCTTGCGCTCCCTGAGTACCATAGTTTAAACTCGTCTACATCTCGTGCCCTAGTACCCTTCCATCTAGTCTCCTGAACACATGTTATGTTGATCTTCCTCTTCTAAAGAATCTTAGCTAACTCTATGGACTTCCTTGTCAACGTCCCAATGTTCCAAGACCCAATTCTCAACCTAGAGGTTTTCTTTACTCCCTTACCACCCTTGGACCCCACCCCCAGCCCCGCCCGAGGACATGACCTTACTCTCATAGATATGAAAAGGAAATAAAAAAGTTGTATTGTTGTGGGAAAAAAATCCTTGATAAGTGGTGACTCTTGATGTAATTGTGCTTGTGATTAAAGAAGTATAGGGTAAAATACATTGATGTGAAGGCAGAGTTTGGTTTGACATAAGTATGGGATTTGAATATTAAAGTATATGTACTAAAGTGCTTAGGGAGATGTAGTCACTCTTATATCTAAATGTATCTGTCACAACCTCGGTTCGCCCTCCGTGAACCATCATGACGGCACCTAGTTTTCCATGACTAGGTAAGCCTAGATGCGAAAAATAAACCAAATTGTGGAAGAAAATAAGTTAAAACAGAGATAGAGTAATAAAACAACATTTAAAAGTGTCGTTCGGCATACACAAAGTTAACTCTCAAAAAAACTAATACATACTCCCAAAATCCGGAAACATGTGAATCACAAGCTACGAATACAGTAAAAAAATGCTCTAACTCCGGAATGTCTACATCAACAGTAAAGATAGAAGGTCCATCACTATAAGAGAGAATGGAGAGAGACTCCTCGGTTTGCGGACGCGGCAGATATACCTCGAAGTCTCCAAAGGATTGCCTCGCCTCAAAGGTGGTAAGTTTGAGTCAAAGTACCTGGATCTGCACATGAAAAACATACGTAGAAAAGGCATGAGTACACCACAGCAGTACTCAGTAAGTGCCAAGCCTAACCTCAGTCGGGTAGTGACGAGGAAGGTCAAGGCCCTACTGAGATAAGATAAAAATATAAGGTATGATAGAATAAGATAAGCAATACAGTAGAAAGATAACAATAAGAATTTAATACGAGAAAGTAAGGAAAATGCAATAACCGAAATAGAGGCTAAAACGAACACAAGGATAATAACCGGGGATCTCTTAGTATCCTCAATCTGTACTAGGGATCTCTTGGTATCCCGAGGATCTCTTGGTATCCTCAATATATGTTAGGAATCTCTTGGTATCCCGATGATATCTTGGAATCTTCAATATATGCTAGGGATCTCTTGGTATCTCGAGGATATTTTACTGTCCTCAATCTGTACTAGGGATCTCTTAGTATGCTGAGGATCTCTTGATATCCTCAATATATGCTAGGGATCTCTTGGTATCCTCAATCTGTACTAGGGATATCTTGGTACCCCTGTATATCTTGGTACCCTCAATATATGTGCCAAGGATCTCTTGGTATCCCGCACCTTAGCTCAATAATAAATTCATTCAGGGGATCTCCCCGGATGTCTCCCCGTAGTCCCAAAATAGCAACAATAGAAAAAAAGGAATACTAAATTACGCTCAACTTCAAACCAAAGAAAAAACAGATAATTTTTAACCTAGCATGCTTCACATAATACAAGAAGGCAGTTAAAGCAAATAGAGCAATTTAGTCAATTAGACATGCTTTTCTAGGCTAACAGCAGGTTTAAATTCCAAGTAGTGTAAGCAAGAAAGGAAAAACACAATTAAGGCTATTTTAATGAAAATAGGATTTTCAACAACTAGTACAAGTACGCACTCGTCACCTCATATACAAGGCATTTCAATTATCACAATATCAATCCTAAGGGGAGAGTCCCTCACACAAGGTTAGACAAGCCACTTACCTCGAACCGGCTCAATAATCAACCCGAGACCACGTTCTTGCCACGAGTACTTGACTCCAAATAGCCCAAATCCATTCAATTAAAATTCATATTGTAAATAACACTTCAAGTAACGGATTCTATAAAGAAATTCTAAGCTAATACGCGAAATTATTTAAAATGACCAAAATGCCCCTTAGGCCCACGTCTCGGAATCGGGTAAAATTTATATTTTCAGAACCCTCATACTCTCATGAGTTCATGCATACCGAAATTATCCAAATCTAAGGTCAAATTCCCAATCAAAAGTTAAATTTTGGTGTATCACAGCATATCAAAGAAGAACTGATCAATCTTACTGGATATGCAAAGGGTAGTATACCTTTTAAATATTTGGGAGTTCCATTGTCTGCGAGGAAGCTGAACATTCATCAATGTCTGCCTTTAGTTGAGAAGATCACAGAGAGAGTCAGATGCTGGTCAGCAAGGATGCTCTCATATTCAGGAAGAGTTCAGCTTATCAAATCAATCTTATTTGGTGTACAAACATATTGGGCTCAAATTTTCTTAATTCCAAAGAAGATCATGAAGATGATAGAGACTATATGCAGGACTTTCCTGTGGACTGGTTCAAGTGAGTTCTCCAAGAAAACATTGATTGCATGGGATAGAATATGCCAACCTAAAGCAGCAGGTGGATTGAATGTGATAAATTTGAAGATATGGAACAAAGCAGCAGTGTTGAAATATCTGTGGGCTCTGGCTATGAAGAAAGATGCCATGTGGATTAGATGGGCTTATACCTACTACATAAAGAACAGACATATTAAAGATATACACACACCCAAAGTAGCAGCATGGGTGGTGAGGAAGATCATAGAGGCAAAAGATGAAGTTATGAAGATGAGGACAGATCAACATAGTATTGCAACTATTCTGGAGAGCTTTGTGAAGCATGGTAAATTCCAGATACACAAGGCTTATGTCCAGATGCAGCCTCAATTCATTAAAGTTGAATGGAACAGTATCCACATGCACTCACAGATTCACCCTAGATTCAAGTTTCATCTATGGTTGGCTATAACCAAAGGATAGCAACTGTGGATAAGCTTGCTAAATTTTGTATTCAAGTGCAGGCAGATTGTATTTTCTGTGGAAAAGCTGAGGAGACATTTGATCACCTCTATTTTGGTTGCCATAGTACCAACAAACTGTGGGAAAGGATATTGAAATGGCTGGGGCATACAAGGCTGATAGGGGACTGGAACCATGAGCTGATATGGATTAGTAGCATGGCAAAAAAGAAAGAGTGTAAGGCAAAAATGATCACGGCAGCCTTTGCAATGGTTGTGTACTGCATATGGCGTGAAAGAAATTCGATGAGATTCAACATGGGGAGATATATTGATGAAGTCTGTAAGGAAATTGCAATACATATACACATACAAGGAAGGAAGAAAATCAAATGGAGGCCAGGATTAGACTTTGTAAATAAATTGCCTTAGTATAGAATTTTGTTAGTATTACATATATAGTATAGTTATACTTTGTAATAGAGATTAGAGATTAGAGGTTAATAGTTAGCGTTAATCTGGGTATGTATGTCAGTTTTTATGAAATAAAAGCAAACTTTCTTCCAATTTTTACCTCCAATACGAAATTAAATGAAAGAAAAAAAAAGTTAAAACAAGAAAAGCGAAGCATTTTCACGGAGAAAAATATTACCTTTACAGCATTTACGACAGAAATCAAACAATTTTTTCTTCTATGGACGGAGCATTCTAGAGAGAGTGAAAGAGAAGAAAAAAGAAACGTCTTTTTAAGTTAGGTCTAAGTCGTATTTTTAGATTTAGAAGGGTGGGTCAACTATGTGGGTCGGAGCGGGTTGGCTATTAAAAGAACTAGATTCTCTTCAGCTTTAAGGTTACGCCACGTGTCTATGCCGTCTAATTAGGGGTATTTTTCTTTAATAGTGTAACGGTGAGGGGTTTTATGTACCGATAGTATAAAGAAGGATATTTTTAAACAATTATCAATAGTAGAGGGACATATCATACCCTTTACCATTTTAAGAAACAATTGGTGAAAAGACGAACACCACCCAGTGAAGTTCTCAAATCCTTGAATTTCTTTGAATATACATGTAATCATTAAATTTTCATTACAGGGAACCAATACCCTATCTTTAACACAGGGTACAACATCCCCTAATTGCATTGTTTATTGCAAACATATGGTACGTCATTCTCTAGTATCATCTAAGAGTGCTAAGAGCCTCTGTTTATTGCCAACATATGGTATGACAGTCCATAGTAGCATCTCAAAGCACCACATGCCTCATTATATTTCCAACATAGGGTATAGCATTCCATAGTAGCATCCTAATGTACCACGAGCCTCATCTTATTGCCAATACAAGGTACTGCATCACCTGGTTACATTGTTTATTGCCAACATAAGGTACGACATTCCCAAGTAGCATCACAGAGCGTCACGAGACTTAGTATATTGCCATCATAGGGTATGGACGCCCCTAGTAGCATCTCAGAGCGCTACAAGCCTCATTTTATTACCAACATAGGGTACAACATTCCTAAGTAGAATCCTAGAGCGCAACGAGCCTCATTTTATTACTAACATAGGGTAGAACATTCCCTAGTAGCATCACAAAGCTCCACGAGCCTCATCTTACTGCCAATACAAAGTACTACATCCCTTGATTGAATTTCTTATTGCCAACGTAGGGTACAATATTCCTTAATAGCATCCTAGAGTGCCACAAGCCTCATCTTATTGCCCACACAGGGTACTATATCCCTTAGTTACATTACTTTCTGTCAATATAGGTTACGCCATTCCATTCCTTTTTCAATTCTTTATTCTACAATAGCAATGCTAGTTTATTATATATATATATATATATGGTTTGTTTTAATTAGAATTTTATTAAGTAAACTATAGAATCTTTCTTAGTATCATTTAAAGTACATGTAAATATTTAGTTTTCTTATATTATAAGAAATATTGGTTAATCTTCTTATCTTTATAATATAATTTAGCATTCCATAGCACAACGAGCCTCATTTTATTACGAACATAGGGTACAACATTTCCTAGTAGCATCCTAGAGTGCCACGAGCCTCATCTTATTACAAATACAAGGTACTACATCCCTTGATTGCATTTCTTATTGCCAACGTAGGGTACGATATTCCTTAGTAGCATCCTAGAGTGCCACGAGCCTCATCTTATTTCCAACACATGGTACTACACCCCTTAGTTGCATTTCTTTCTGCCGATATAGGGTACGACATTCCATTTCTTTTTCAATTCTTTATTCTGCAATAGCAAATATAGTTTATTATTTACATATATATATA